ATTCTGCCTCTGAACAGGGCTGACCTGCCAAGAGGAGCTAATCCATAAATCTTTCCTTCCTTTTTCTTTCTTGCTTTCCAAAATAACATTTGGAAAATGAGTTTGCCTAGGAGGAAAACTGTTCTTCCATTGCCGGCAGTCAAACTGTGCAACTAATTAGTGCTTTCCCTTTTCTCTTTCTTCTGCTCTGTGTCTGCTGGGGTTGAAATTAAGCCAAGGAGGAGAGGAGGAGGGGGTATATAAAGGGAAAATATTTGTTTCAAGTATTTATTTTTAATTACAACTTTTGCAAAGTGATGTGATGCAGTGGTGGTGTATGCACTGTGTCTTAGGTAGTGGTCAGAAGTTTAGAAGAAATTTATTAGAAACATCCCAGAAGATGAGTGGAGAGGGCTTCAGGTTGGTCTTCTTGTTGTAACATCTTCTTGCTGCTGAAAAGAAAAACAAATGACAAAAAAATCTTTGGATACATCAAACCATGATACATTTTTTGCAGAAATATCTGACATATAATTAGGAAACAGGAGTCAAGAGCTCTCCTAGATCTGTGTGGCTTGCGTAAGCCAATTCATGCCAAGGTGATGTGGGCAGTGCATACTGCAGATCTGTTATTCACTGTACAGTGGCTGCCAATGCAGATTTAAATAGCAAAGCAAAATGTTTTCAGATCATTGAAAATGCTCTGGAGATCTAATGTCTTTTATTTTTAACCCTTGGTTAGTTTTAGCAAGAGTGGCCAGATGTTTTTGGGGTGGACAGAAATAAGAGCTTTCTTGCTGCTTGAAACTGAGATTATTCAAATCCTTAAAAAAAAAAACTACAGGAAAAAATCTGTTGTTTAGGCAGCTCTCTTTCAGTTGTGCATGGTATGAAGTATGGGACTATACTTATTCCCAAATATTTAGGAAGTATTCAGAAGCAGAATGAGCCTGAAAATACCCTAAGCTTTGAGGTGATTAAGATTATTCTAGTAGATAAAACTGTGACTTTTCTGTAGAAAACCACATAGTAAGAGACCACTGTCCCTGTGAAGAGCAGTGAGACCTCCTGAGCCCTAAACCACTAGTGGTTTCACCACTGGAGTGTGGGGCCTCTTGACAGTTTTAGATGGAAATAGTAAAATGCTTTGGGTGTGTTTCTAGAGTAACAAATTCCTTATTTTCTGGTTTATGTGGGCAGCTTTTGGGGTTTCATGTATAAAAGAGCAGTGGGTCAGAAAAAGTGCTCACACAACAATGCAGGTGAGAACGTGTTCAGTGGAACCATTGTGAAAGGCAGGTATGGAAAGAAAGAGCTCTTCACTCCCATTCATCCCAGTTCGGGAGACAGAGCATGTCACAACAGTGCTGAGCAGACAAGAGCTGCTTGCCAGCATTTAATTTGTTGAAGATTAGGAAATTATTCTATTCTTACAATACCATGTCAGTCTAGAAGTACCTTTGAACTCTGGGGGATGTGAAGTTTAGATCTCGCCTCAGATTTCGTGGTGCTTGGAAAGCAAGGCTTTATTAGGGTGAGCACTGTACGGATAGTTTAAGGGGAGTCATGTTAACAGTGTACTTAGAGACTATGGACTGGCTCAGCTTCAGCTGCTTTGAACTTTGAGATAGCTGGATCCAGAGCAGGACACTGAACTTGGGCTTTTTTCTCTGGGAACTGAAAGCTGGCTCATGCAATGTAGGGGTCAGTTATTTCTGGTTTGCTCTATATGCAAGGGGCTGCTAAAGCATTGCCCCCTTTCTGACCTGTAGATTTCCCAACAAAAAATATCTGCAGCCTTGACCCCCACGTTGTTCCTAGATTCCATCCTTATTCTTTACGCCATGCCACAAACATCCTGTGTCCTCACATTCTGAGGCTGAGGGCACAAAGCACAAAGTCTTGTATAAGCTCAGCTGATCATGATGCTTTCATTATTTACAGTGGTTTCTAAAAGCAGTGTCACAACTGTTAGTGTCTAACTATAAACAAAGGTTACTTTTACGAGCACAAATAATAAACATACTCGACACTTAGTGTCAACAGCCTCACAAATCTGTTCAGCACCTGGAACTAGAATCAGCTTGGCAGTTGTGAACCATGATTTGCGCAGAAGCAGGACCATGGTTTCAGAAGGGCCATAAATAAATTTGTGTCCTGACGTGGGCACCAAAAATAAGCATGTGCTGAGCTTTTCTGTTTGACCAGGGCACAGCTGCTGGCTGTTGAGAATTTTGGAAAATGTATCCCCTCATTCAGGTGCTCAGCAACTCCAGACCCAAACAACTTCAGTGTCATCTGCTTCTCTAATAACCACTGTTGTACCCTGCAAAAATAGCCAAGGCCTTGCTGCTGATCTTGAAAAGGAGTTCCTTTAATCCTAATCTTACCTCACTATTTGAAAAATAACCTGAAGAGAGTTTTCTCTGTTTGATGAAGGTAAATCTTAAGCTCTGGGACAATTGTAATTATCCTCCCCTCCTTCAAGCACTTCCATGTGCTGCTGCCGTGCCATATAGGAAAGCAAATATCCCTGGTTGCTCTGATATCAAATAACTTTTCTGACCTCCATTGAAGAGAGTTCATTGTAAAAATCCTTTCATCCAGAGGTGTCAGTCACCTGGAGCCTTGCAGGGGTTTCTGAGCTCTGGTGATTGATTATTCATGAGTAATTTTGTGCTTTATGAAGAGCCCTGCTGGAAATACATGAAGGTACAAAATTATTGATTTATCAATGATCTGGTGCCAAAAGCCACCCACGAGTGAGGACAGGAATGGGCTATGGGTGGATGAACCTGTAGAGGAGCAGGAGCTCTGTGATGGGTAGGGTTGAACCAGGACCCTATAGCAGTGAGATAAGGGGATGTAGTAAGACTGGATCCACTCCTTTCTGGAGTAAGCTTAAGCTTAAGTCTCCTTATTCAGAACAGGGTAGAACTGGGATCCAAGGAGCCTCTTGGACTCTGAATGACCAAGAGCAGTTGTGTACTTGGGCTTAGTCCCAGGACTGCTGCAAATGAAAACATCAACACGTGATGTCCTCATGAATCTCACGGCACACCCAGGAACACCTCTTGTGGTGGAGGTGGCCTCAGTGCTCCTGCATAGGACTCTAGAAATGGAGACACCCTTTGAGGAGGCAAGAAGGGATGATTTTTGAGCAAATTTGGCTGAAAGAGAAAAAAATCATCTGTTCTACGGGTAGGTCAGCAAGTTCTTGTCAGCAAGAGTCAGAAATGAACAGTAGTGGGTTGTCAAGGAGGACATAGGTTATGGGAGCAGTATCTGCTTTACCTTCTGTGTAGCTGGGTGATGTCAGCAAAGACCTAACGTGTAAAGCAAAGGACAGTGGTGCAAGGCAAAGGACAGCACATTCTGTCCTAATTTATGATCTTTGAACAGCCACTGAAGTTGTAAATTAAGGCAGACTTTCCACCAGGTTACTCAGTAGATCAGCACAGTCCTCAGCTGGAAAAATCCGCAGAAAGAAAAGGTAGATAAAGCTTGACACAAATTAAAGGCTGGCTTGGCAATTCTGATCTCATCTCTCAAGTGCTTCTGTGGTGGTTTAAGTGGAAAGCTTTACATATAATGAAAATACTTTGATTTTTAGTGTTGCAGAGGTGTGAAGGAGAAGGCAAGACTGAAGCCCAAGTCTGCCTAAGCCCCGGTCTATAGTTACAGCTATCCTTATGTCCCAGTCTGTTGGGATTTAGGATTTTGACTAGTTTCCCAAGCTTGCTTTGTAAGTGGCTGGATTTTGCACAACTTGCTGTGGTTGAGGAGAGAAGCAACGATCAACAACCTGTGATGTTCTTTGATGTACCCAGCTCACCTAGGACCTGGTTCCTGTGATCACAACCCTACAGTTGGGGAGAGGGCTGAGAAATACGGGTCATTAGCAGGCCAGGCTGGCAACTCCTTTCTTCCGCTGTGTGGAGTTACTCACCCCAACACACTAATTGAGGTCTAGAGATCATTATTTTCATTAGTGGTGATTCATGCAAAGGGTTTCACAATCAGGCTCGCTGGTGTAATATGTTCCTTTCCACAGTCCCATTTATCTAAAGATCTCCGAATACTTTGTGTACATTAAATTTTAATCCATGTTTTACCACCAGCGATGTAGGTAAGGAAGATTGTTTCCATCTTGCAAATGAGGTAAAATGAGGTACAGAGCAAGAAAGTGACTTGCCCAAGACTCTGCAAGTTGTATATCTTACAGTGAGTTTACGTTTCCCGTATGTAGCTCAATTTCCCTGCCCAAACTTTAAAGGAACATTTGATTTCCTGGGGCTAAGGCTGAGCAGGAATTTGCTATAGCTGTAAATCAGAAGGCCTGACATGGATCAGAAATTTTTCCAATGTTTGGGAATGTTTGGATTTGTCATCCCAGAACAGCCCTGACCTGAAAAGATTGGAGCAAAACTGGTTTGTTTTTAGGGCTGGTATCAACTGGTTGGTGTAAGATGCAGAGTTCAGTCAGTGAAGAACTCTTGGGATCATTATCATCATCTTCCTGCATGGTCAGTAGGATCAGTATGGGCAGTGGAGGATGAAAGTTACCTATTAGGGGATGGAATGAGTTGTGAACTGGAGTCTGTTGTCTGTTACCTGCAAGGGGAGGGGAAGTGACTATCTCAAGTGAACCCTGTCCTAGTTTCCCAGAGAAGCAAAGTTGGGAACAGAATTGGGATATATTTCATCTTTTGCTTGGAGTTTAATCCTGCAGTAATTAGACAGATGATTTCAATTGTTATAACAGCTCCTAAAAAAGGAGTGGAAAGGCAGTCTTTCCTTTCCCTGTCTTAGGGTTAGGGTTTCCCAGCCCAAGAAAAGTTGTGCAATGTGGGAGAAAGAAGAGGTCCAAAGAGAGGAATATTCATGCCTGTGGTCCTTTAACAAGCAAATGGCAGAGCCAGGAAAGCTGTTCCTGTCTCCCTCCTCTCCCCAGCACTCCCATTACTCAAACACGTCAGCACTGAACTGACCTTCATCCACCTCTGCTTCCTCCCTGCCAGGCTCCCCTTCTCTACGGGCGTATCCTCTCATCTCCGTCATCACCCGGCAGCCGCCCGTGCTACCCCAGCTGGTCCCGGCTGCTGGCAGTTCCCGGCTGCTGTCCCCCCAGCCCTGCCTGGGGGCCGTGGGCACGGAAGTTTCCCCCATTGAGGCCCAGGGCAGCAGCGAGTCTGAGGCGGAGCAGCCCCCACCGCGCTCGAAGAAGCCACGCCGGAGCAGGACCATCTTCACCGAGATCCAGCTCATGGGCCTGGAGAAGAAATTCCAGAAGCAGAAGTACCTCTCCACCCCTGACAGGTAGGTTGGTTGCTCACACCAGGAATAGGGATGAGCAAAAGGGATGCTCCAGCCCTGCTCTGCTGTTCCACATTGAACATACCCTGGCTAGGTGCTGCCTCTGGCTCCAAGGAGTTGCCTCTACCATTGGCTGCAGCCATGGTTAAGTAACCTGATGCAAATTCAAGGCTACTTTTCCTGGTATCAAAGGTGATACGAATAGATCATATGTAAATGTCAGATGACGATACACATGCTTGGGAGCAGGTCTCCAGGCTCAGAGATCTCCTCAAAGAAGAAGATCTCTGCCTTTCGCACTCCTGCTGCACACTTGAAGAAGGATGGAGCCTGTCTCCCCCTGGGATTTGCTGGTTCATGGATGTGTGTTCATGGTACCTTCAGCTGCTCCTGAGCTGGCTTTCACCTAGCACCTTTGGCAGCAATTCAGTGGGAAGGTGGTGGCCCGTCCATAAGCTTGGAAAGCAGAGCCTGGAGTTGAAAGCTGCCTTGCAAAGGCACAGGCAAGTTCTTAGGCACTACTTGGTACCACATGGGCAAACCAAACTAAGAGAGATTTCAGCTTTTTTAAGGGTTTTGAATCTTACTCTGCAAATTTAAATTATGGAAAAATGATCCATCCAATTCCTAGGAAGTTTGTAAACGTGGAGAAGGTTTGAAAAGTATAAATCCCATCACTCCACAGAGGGCAGTGTCCCAATATTTACATTGATTCTGAAGATGGCCTTTTCTGCTCCTACTGCCTGTCACCAAATTGCCACAAGACCAAAACACCTGCCTGTAGCCAACCTGCCTCATGGAGTTTTGGAATTCCTGCTGTGCCTGCACTGACTCTTCATAGCCTTCATATCACCAGGTGGTTGACCCTTTGCTGAAGCACTCAAGGCTGGTAATTAATAATCTTACATGACTGTTCCTTGACTCCATTGAGGCTGATGAGCAATTCCTGCCCATGTACCATTTCCCATGTGTTTGTTTCCTTGGGTTTCTAGGCAGTGCTGGTTGCACTGTGGTATGTGGCAATAGATGGCAGCTGGTTGCAGGTAATCCAAGTGTTACCAGACATGTGCACCAAGGCATGAACGGTTGGCTAAGCCAAGCTTCTCTCTATCAACTCCTGGCTGGAAACATGGCAAAGCAGTGGATTGTGGTCCATGTTCACTTCTGCAGCTTTTGGCCTGGATTGTAGTGCTGGGAGGGCAGCTGAAACCCCTGGTTTATCCATAGTGTGGGAGGACATTATATCAGGGTAATGACTCTGTGTTCTACTCTTAACAGTAATGGTGTCTTAGATCAATGGCTTCAGATGTGATGTAGTGGCAGAACAAGCCTGCAAGTGCAGAGTGAATCCAGAGTGGGGGAGAAGCATTAATCATTGAGTGTGAGGTGGAGCACAGAGAAATGGTGTGGGGTATGTGGGTGTTTACAAATATAAGTCTGGTTGCCCAAGGAGCCCAGCTGTAACAAAGGTTTTATTATGAAAAAATTGGCCTTGACAGAAGGGTTCTGCCATCCAAAGGCAAGGAGATACTTGCCAAAAAGTCACAGAATGCAAAATACTGTGGAATGTGGCTCTGAGTTGGAGCTGTCCCACCTGCAGCACTTGCATGACTCCGAGGGGCACTTTCCTGGCATGGCTGAGGATTTCCAACTTCATCCCTTGTGCAACTCCATTACAAAACTGCCAGATGCGTGGTGCTATCACCTGTGGGAAAGGATCAGGAGCTACTCTAAGCTGCATTTGCTTCATATCCTGGGCTTTAATATAGAAATAATGAATGGGTTCACATGAACTTGCATGAGTTGGAGATTTGTGGAGGATGAATCAGGATTATGGGCTGTCTGCCACATATACCCTGCAGCTAAACATACAAAAAATAAATCCACTTAGAAGCATAAATTGCCTAAATAGCAGAATGTATAAGAAATGAATAGATTTAGATGTACTACTACTCCATGAGAAATGCGAAAGTGCCGCAATCCCCATTCTGAAGGTAGTGAAGGAGAAATATGATTCAAAGAATAGCTGATGCTGGGTGTCTGTTCCTACATGTTTATTTCAGACCAGTAACCTGTTTTTCACGGATATGATGTACCAGTAGCTCCTAATTCATGGACAAACATGGAGCATCAGCAGTTGGAGTGCAGCAGGTTCATGTCTCGAAGAGGGCAGACAAACCCTGCCACTTCTAGAAAAGAGAGCTTGCAAACACCTGCATCTTCCATAGGAGCATCTGTCTTTGCATCCTAAATTCACAGGCTTTATCACTTTGGTGTGTCTGTCGAGACAACTGATCAGAGACACTGCTGAATGCTCAAACAGTGTTGGACTGCCTAGACCTGGCACCTGAGCTCCTCTTGGCTTCTGTAAACTCACTTTGTTGTGTGGTTTGTCTCCCAGGCTTGACTTAGCCCAATCCTTGGGGCTGACTCAGCTCCAGGTGAAGACGTGGTACCAGAACCGTAGGATGAAGTGGAAGAAAATGGTGAGTGGGTCCTTGACATTTCTCCATCACTTTTAAAAACTGATAGCAAAGAACAGATTTGGAAGCTGAACGTAGTGGAGTGACTTGTGTCTATTTATACCAAACTTTGTTTTATTCCTGATCATTTTTCACAGAGATGGTATTTTATTTTTTTTTTAAAGTGTTCATACTTCAGCATATGTGGTGAGCTAGAAGGGACCAAAGGCAGTAGGAGGAGAACAAAGCAAAGGGTTGAAAGAAAGGAGGATAGAACTGAGGGAAGAACCAAAATACCTCCTTCTGCATTATTGGCATTCGTGTGATCTCAGTGCTTCTGGGATTGGTTTTGTGCATAGACAAAAAAGACTTGCTCTGTGGAAACAGAGCAGTTTTGAGAGCCGATATCATTAATTTTTGCTTCTCATATCTTCCTTTCACTTTTCACTTATTCTCATCTTCATGGTCCTTTTCCAGTTAAAATGCTTTTTTATAAAGGACAGACACACAATAAATGCTGGTGGGAACATGATGCTGTGACATTTTCTAGTGGAGGTGTCCATGTTTTCTGATTTGGGAGAGGAGGTGCAGTTCTAGGCTGTTCCTTTGGATGTATGTGGCACCTGCAGAAGTTATTGTCACTCCTAACAAATTTGGCATTAGCTTGGATGTAGATCCTTGGCTGGGGTGTCTTGTTGCTGCAGGAATGGTGTGAAGAGAGGGAATTAGGCATAGGAACAGAGTGTCTGAGACCAGCAGAGTTCAGAATCCTAACAGTTAATCAATCTCTTTGCTCCAGGTGTTGAAGGGTGGACAGGAAGCTCCAACGAAGCCCAAAGGCCGTCCAAAGAAAAACTCCATTCCCACCTCAGAGGAGATTGAAGCAGAGGAGAAAATGAACAGCCAGGCTCAGAGTCAGGCATGGGAGGGATCTCAAGCCAATGAGGAGCCAAAACTACCAGAGGAGAACCCAGGAGTTCTGTTGGAGACAAAGAAGTCTCCAGAACATATACCAGAGCCTTCCTCAGAGGTGACTACACCATTACCATTAAGTTAAAAGGGAAAGAAAGAAGGGGAAAAGAAGAGAAAAGAAAAAGATAAAAGAGAAAAATCAAAGCCAAATATATATATATGTATATATATATTGAAATATGTATGTAATGGTGTGTGTGTACATATATATATATACATATATATATATATATACACATACATACATACATATATGTATGTAGACCTTGTGTATAAATCTAAGGATTGGTCACTTTGTGCCTTTGGGAATCAGCCATCATGGGCCAGGTGGAACAAAGACATCCTGTGGGAATGGTGTCAGCCTGTTCCTCTGGCAGGTGCCTGAGCCTTCCTGAAGAGAGGGTTGGGGCCGGGACATGTTTCCAGGGAAAACCACGCCTAGAACCCCAAGACAGCTCTTTGAGAAGCCTGGGGCTCTCCCAAGCAGTGGGAGGCAAGTGTGTGGCTGTGTTGGAGGGTCAGTGTGTTCACTTGGCTTAATCCTTGCCTCATGTGGTTGCAGTGGACAAAGAGCTTGGCCTGGGCTCAGATCAGGGATAGCCGAGGAATGGGAGCTCTGATAGCAAGCACCATTTCCTCGTGTAACCAGCACTTAATTCTGTTAGGGATGGGCCTGACTTAAACAATTTTAGGAAATGGCCTGGTTTTGCTTTGGCCCAGTTAAGATCAAAGCTTCCAAAGGGAGATCCATACCTGGGTCAGCTCCAATTGCCTCTACTTGGGTAGTTTGTGTCTGTGAATTTGCAGTGATGTGGGATAAAACCTGGAATGAGATGAGCATTTGGATATAAGTCTGCTCCAAAAGCTTTTGGGTGCTTGGATCTGGGACATTTGCTTTGGGCCCACTTCTGATTTTTGTAGGGATTTTTTAAATGAATTGTTAAATGTTTTCAGGGTTTGGGGAAAACGATGGATTTCCAAAGTTGCTGCAGGAAGTTGGCATTTGTTTAAGATATGTGCCAAGAAAAGACGTGCATCATGTTTCATAGAGTCTTGTTAAGGGTGCATTTTGCCCAAAGGCTGCAAGAGATGTATTAAGATAACCTTTATTTTTTAATTAAAAATAAAATACATAAATCAAACAGTTGTTGCTATTGTTTCTCTTCCATAGATTCTCATTTCAGAATATCAGGCAGGGGCTTTTCTGGAATAGGTTTTTCTATTCCAACAAAATCTGGAGGAAATGGAAATCATCAGATTTTCCTTAACATCACTGCAGAACAATCTCCATGTAAATTATTTGTGGCACTTGCTAAGGGAGTTGAGGGTGTTGTAAGTGCCATCTTGTCACTGGATGAATGTGTCAGAACAAGGACACTATCTTCTGTCACCTCCTCCAGTTTTGGACACACATTTAGTGGCTCTTTGTGGCCCTGTAAAGATGTTTTCTGAATATCCCTTTTTTGGGAATGGCAAGGATTCACACACAGATCTCAAATGGTTTATCCAAGCAGTGTTGAGTGGGGAGAAAGGGATTCTTTTTCCCCAGTTCCTTGCTCAGTGGTGTTTGGAAGTGTCTGATTCCAGCTCTGCAATAGCTCTGTGTTGCATCGGGTAACATAAAGTAGGTATTTGGTAAAGGATTAGTGCAGTTTATTTTCATGGTTGAGTGTCCCAGCTTGGCAAGATTTGCCATGCATCAAACCTGTTTTTGTTCCCCATCCAGTCAGTGATTGAAGATGTCTTTAAAACTTGAAAATGGCTTTCAGAAAGGTAAAAATAAATAAATCATACAAGCAACAGTGATGTTTGTGGGACATCCTGTCCTAGAAGAGTGCTAATGTTATAAAATGTGGATAACTCCTTGAAGAAATGAATCTGTATAATCCTGCCTGGGGACTGATCTTTGAAATGGCTTAATAGCGAAATACTTTCCAAGTAATCCTCTCTGTGCTTCTCACTGTGTGTGTTTACAGTGTGTGAGACAGAGCCTACAGTTTCATGTGGTGAAACTCCAGCTTTAGCCAAGCCAGGGTGGGACATGCTCCACTCCCTGCGTGTCCAGTACACAATAATCAACTTGGAAAAGGCAGCCACTAGTTTAAGTGCATCTACAGGTTTTCATCTAAACCTAAACCAAATTTACCAGAGCTGGGCAACACTCATTTGCAAGGAACTTAGAAAACACCTGGTATTTGTTACCTTTTAGTTCCTTTTTTTTCTGTGTCACAGTGGGCTAGAAATGGGATGAAACATTTCCCTCTTGCCTTTTCTGTTGGAAACACAGGCTGTGAACTGCAAAATGTTTCCTCTGCTGTTAAATGCATCAAAATTTAGTTGTCTTTGAGCATTTTTTTTTCCACAGAGCCCTGACATGCTCATGACAGCCCCAGTGAGAGGCAAAGGTGGCAAGGCAGGATTTTGCTGCTTGTCTGGAGCTGATACAATGTCTGAGTTGCGCATTCTTTATCTGTGGACGTTTTTTTTTTTTCCTCTTCTTTCCAGAATTGTGCTGTAGTTCAACTGTATCTATTGGACTAGAAATAATGTTTAATTTAAAAAGACCTATGGCCTGTTTAGACAGGAATTAGATTAGATGGTCTATGAAATCTGTAATCAACCTCTATTGTTCTTGGATAGTGGCATCAACACTCTTATCTCCACAGAAAATGTTTCCACAAGTCTCAAATGCCATAGTACTCAGGGAGAGTGAAGAGAGCAATTGAGTGGAAATCATTTGTCTAATAATGAGTTTCACCATCAGGTTGCATAAAAACTGCAAGAGTTTCTACTCAGTTGATTTGTAAGCCTGAAGAGCTGATTAAATCAAATTTTGTGTGCAGATGATTCTAGAAACAAAAAGCTGACTGTCAGGGAAGGCATCAAAGATACTTCAACTTGTGTGAGTCAAAGTGAAATATTTTGTAATGAAGCCGTTTTCTTCCAGGCCACATTGGACAGAGCTTGGAGCAACCTGGGATAGTGGAAGGTGTCCCTGCTCATGGCACGGGGTGGGACTGAATGAGGTCTAGGGCCCCTTCCATCCCAAACCATCCTGGGGCTTTTTTAACTAAAAATAAACCAATCAGAGATGTACTGTAAACACCACATTTGGAAACTTCAGTATTTTCCTCAACCAAAAGGTTTTTCATAAAATGGATAAAGCAGATGCATTTGCTGGGGCTTTTTGCATTTGGTACCCAGTGGATTTGTCCAATTTGAAGAATTTGGATAGATTTACATAACAGGCTGGGAAAATAAATGTGGAAACAGGAAAAAACATCACTTTCTTGCCCTGAGATAGGAAGTGGAGTGTGGTGTTTCTTTGCTGTTCAATGAAACTGATAAATACGAGAATACAAAATTTACAAAAATCTTAATGATAGGTTTCTAAGTCCCAAGGAAAGCAAAGTTGGCCATTTTCCAACAAAGGGTAAAGTAAGTTTTACAAAATGGCATTTCCCACTTCCTAGATGAAAATAATTTTTCTGACTCAGCCCTACTTCTAAGTGGGAACAGTTCCAGTGATTTTTTGGATTATTTTTTTTCCCCTTGTTAATCCCATTCTAATTATTTATGAGTCAGTCTGGGTAAAAATGCAATTCTCTTGCTGTCTGGGCTAGTTTTTCATGAGTCCACAAGACACTGAAGATGTTTTTATTCCTCTTTTGGCGGAGGAGAAATCTTAACATCTTATTTTTCAACATGATTAAGTGCAGAATTAGCTCTTGAAGCACTTTCTGCTGCTGCTCACACTGAATGACTTTCACTGATAATCCCTTGGAGTGATCATGGAAAGCACATTCAGAATGTGTTTGGATGGAGGGAAAACACATGAAGAAATGGGGAAACCCAGTCTGCAACTGGAGTAAAAGTACAGATTCTAGTAGAACTAAACGTAGGGATCCCAGCTGCTGTTGGGAGACAAGTGCTCTTTTCCTCTTGCTTTAAGGTTTTTTCTGCTTTGGGTTTATTTTTGGTATGGTCACTGAAATGCCAAGAATTGAGTGACTCTTCCACTGGCTTTGGGCTGAGCTGAGTTGGGTTTGAAGGCTGGGCTGGGATTTAGCCCTTAACAGGGGCTGTGGGCTGAAAGTCGTTTGCCTTGTGCTCCTAAAACCCAGGAAAAACAGCACAAGCCTGGTTTTAGGCAGCTGAGGATAAACACAGGGAGCTGCTCCCTGAGGGAATCTGCAGTCTTATCCTCACCCTCAGTGACAGCAAAGGGGTCCCAGGGCCCATTGGGCCAGCCCTGGATATGGTTTTATTCTTTTAAAAGACTGTTGTGCCTCTCAGGATCTGCTGTCCCAGGACTGCTGGTTGCTCGTCCCAGAAATCTGCCCAGAGACAAGAGCACTTGGGATTGAGCTCTTGTGATGTTCAGGGGTATTTGGCTTCCAGTCTTGACAGAAAGGAACAAGCCCCGATGTCAAAATCCCAACTCCCCTTCAGGGATGGGAAGTGCTCATATCCAGAGTTCTGGCTGGGACCCATCTTTTATTGTACCCACTCCTCAGATAATTTTGCAAAGCACTGAGCTCATCCTGCACGATGCTTCCCCCAGGTGCCAGCAAGGATGAATAAGGAAAGAAAAAAGTCTGTATTCATTTAACTTCAGACCAGTGCAAAGAAATTTGGTGTTTGAGAGGGTTTTCAGTTTTCCCCCTCTCAAACATCTTTCCTCAGCAGCAAAATGGAAAAGGACAGTACACAAGAATGGACTGGAAAAAAAAGAGGAGAGAAGAGGGAATTGAAAGAAAAAGCAATGGAGAAGAGCTTAACTGCATCAACATACATGAAAAAAAAAAAAACAGGAAGAAATATAATCATGGTAAAAAGCCAACCTCTTTTTTTTTTAGACAGATGAAGCAGTAGTTCTGTAAAGAGATATTTTTCTGTGGTTTACCTATATATGCAAGGATGATGAAAGTTAGGTTTTTCGTGTTTCCTTTTTTGCACTATAAATTAAAATATAGCTGGATAAAGAGCAGTTCTTGGATTAGATTTAAACTACAATACGGGATTTGGACCCAAGTCTCAACAAAGGCAGAGGTTTGGTGAAATCTAGATCCTGTAGAATCTTAGATGTTGGGCATGAATATCCTGTAAGAACCTCCTTCCTCTT